CAGATTCCATTGCACTAAGGCACTAATAAAGGAACATGCCAATCATTGTGCATTTTCATACTGCACAGGATACATATAATAATTCCTTGTAACATAAACAAATATAGCATGTGTCAACACATGGCTCACAAGCTTTTTTGATGGGAGTCGTAACTTCTGAAGAGGCATACGACAATGGGGGAGAAAATTAGAAAACCTAATTGGATGCCCTAAATTTAGAGATTAAAAAAAAAGATTTTAGGTGGTCCAATAAACTGACCAAGGTGCAAGTTCAATGCACTTTGTTTTGATATTATAAAGGAACCGGTCATTGTTACTTTTTCAAACAGGCTTCAATCAATCCAGCAATCTACAAATTAAAACTGAGTCCACAATCTGCTGGTATTCCATTACTGTGAAAACCATCCAGTCCACCTTCCTCTGCAATGTAATAGTAATTGAATCATATTGCAGAAACCCTACAAGGCAGAGCACAGGGAAAAAAAAGCTATTAATAATAATAACAATAATCCTTGCATTTGATATAGCCCGTTATCACGTTGTTGAAACATCTCAGAGTGCTTCAGAGAATATATTGTAAAATAAATTGACTGTGTGTTTTGTGGGTGAAACGCAGCAGCCAATTTCGCACGGCAGTGTCTCACAAACCGTCATAGAAACATAGAAACAGGAGTAGGTTATTCAGCCCTCGAGCCTGTTTTGCCATTTTATAAGATGATGGCTGATCTGTACCTCAGGTTCAGTTACTCGTATCCATTAATACCCTGACCTAAAAAATATCTATCTACCTCCGTCTTGAAAATTTGAATGGATCCAGCAACCACCACCTTTTGGGGGGCAGGAGTTCCAGATTTCCACTACCCTTTGGGTGAAAAATTCCTCTTAATTTCACTCCTAAATGGTATAGCTCTAATTTTTAAGATTATGCCCCCTTGTTCTGGATTCCCCTACCAGAGGAAATAGTTTCTCGAAAAGCAACCCGCTAATGGACTAACAACCGGAACCGGGTTCCGATTGTCAGTCAAGGCATAGGAAAAAGAGTCAAAACTCATAAAATTCAGGCAATGTATTTATGTTCAAAAGACATGAAATTATTTTAAAGAAAGAAAGAAACCAAGTCAGGTGGCTCTGCAATAGCCATTCGACAGTAGTCAAGTTTTTTTTTCGGTAAGTCCTCTTTTCCTCAGGTCAAGCCTCAACAGCTGTTATGCACTTAAACTAACATTATGTATACATAATGTTTATCTTTCCAATGCTACTGCAAAGTTACCAGACATCAATCTTCTCCAGCGACAGCCAACCACCCGTAACTCCATTCTGAGTAAGAACATAAACTATTTAAATGAATAAATAACAAATAGAAGCAGAGAACTTGCTGGTGACTTGTTGCCAAATGCTATTAATGTACAGTGACTTTACTGGTGAATGTTATTGATAATGACAATTAGTAATGAATGCTACGAGCTGAGTTTGAGGCAGCGATCTCTGAGGCCAGGTGACATTTTATGACATCAGCTCAACACTGAAATAGAATTACTGCCTTGTAACTCTCTCCCTAGTGTTTATTATTCTACATGTATAAATAGAATTCCCCTGTAATCAACTGCAGAATCAATGACCTTCCAAGGATTAAAAATGAACAACCCCGAACCTTTACAAATGAAACACATTATAAAATATAACGAATACTACAGCATAGAGTTCAAGTTTATAATCTAATTTTAGGGTTTAGGATGATAGTTTCAATCCATCTTTTGAATGTTGCACATTTGGCTGTTCATGTCATGTGAACCTCTTTATTAGTTGAACGTTTTGCAAACTGCGCTCTCAAGTATAATTTTTATATTTTCGAGGAAATGTGTGTTATTTTGTTAATATATGTTACATTGAAATGAACTCCTAAGAAACTAAATTAATGGTCTTTCAATGCAGGTCAAAGGCTTAGGCTTTCATTTATTGTTGACATCAATAAGGCCATTATAGCAACAGCCTTTTAAAGACAGGATCCACTGTACATTCAGCACAGAGGATAGCTCTGAATTGGCCAAAAAAGAGGATAACTCAACCTTAAAACTGTACTGACCTATTTGACAACTTGACAAAGGAACATTTATTTTAAAATGAACCAGTCATGTCTGCATTTCGACAGATTCATTTACAGTGGGCTGATGTTGGATAAATATGATTAACTGTGTTAAATATGGTTGCTTTGAAATGGACAGCAAAGGTTTAAAGAGAATATAGTATAGTATTTGCCAATTTGGGTGTATTCCTAAATAAACTGTCAGGCTTAAAAGAGGTTTACCCAGTAAACATTGTAATCAAATAAACCGTCCATTTCCAAAACATGAAAGAAATCTAATAGGATATGTGCAGAAATTTTGAGCATTGGCATGTCATGTTTTCTTTTGTACACCAACTTGAAAGAGAAACTGGAAACTAATGTATGAAAGAAAATTATGTCTTTGATTATCAAGACAATTATAAAATTGAGATTTACAAGAAAATTCTAGTTTGCCAATAGCACTCAGCAAGTTTATTCAGTGTGTACCTGAGTAATAACAACTCAGAAGATGCCGGATTTGATCCCAGATCTAACTTGAGTTAGCTCATGTCAGCCGGGCCATCCCTA